ACTAAGAATGGAAGTTGTAGCCCTCCTACAGAAAAAGAAAGAGGCATACAAACAATGGAAGCTTGGGACAGCCTCTGAGGAAGACTACTTGACAATGGCCCGAACTTGTAGAAAACAGATTAGGCAAGTTAAGGCAGAAACCAAACTAAAACTAGCTACAAGAATCAAGAACAACAAGAAGTCCTTCTTTAGCTACATAGGGAGTAAAAGGAAAACTAATGGGAGTGTGATGCCTCTGCCCCACACTCCCACTAGTGTGGATACCTGGCCACTATCACTCAGGAAAAAACGGAACTCCTAAATGACTACTTTGCCTCGGTCTTTCACAAGACCAAGGGGAACAACATGCCAGGTAGGACACAGAACAAGCACGGCAGGATTGATGCCATTCCCACCATTGCCATAGAACTGGTGTACAATCAATTAAAGAAATTAGACATATATAAATCAGCAGGACTGGATGAACTCCACCCAAGAGTGCTGCAAGAGTTGGCTGAAGTAATTGTAGAGCCCCTGGCAAAGGTCTTTAAAAAATCATGGGTCTCTGGAGAAATCCCAGAGGACTGGAAGAGGGCCAATGTTGCACCCATCTTCAAGAAGGGGAAGCGTGAAGACCCGGGAAACTACAGGCCAATTAGCTTAACTTCTATTCCAGGGAAAATCCTAGAAACTTTCATCAAAGAGGCTATATGTGACAAGCTTGCAGAAGGTCTGATACTGAATGACAGCCAGCATGGCTTTGTCACGGGCAGGTCTTGTCTGACCAACCTCATTTCTTCTATGATCGGGTGACTCGTCACCTGGACAAGAGAAAAGCAGTTGACATCATATACCTCAACTTCCAGAAAGCCTTTGACCTGGTCTCCCATGAGGTACTGATCAGAAAACTGGAAGGTATCAGGCTCAACTGTGGGACCATCAAGTAGGTGCAAAACTGGTTGTGGAGTAGGACACAGTCCAAATGAATGGATTGGTGTCATCCTGGCAAGATGTGGGTAGACGTGTACCCCAGGGGACGGTACTTGGCCCATTGCTGTTCAACATCTTCATCAACAACCTGGATGAGGGGATGAAAAGCCCATTGGCCAAGTTTGCGAACGACACCATGATATGGGGTTGTGCAGACACACCTGCAGAAAGGCTGCAGATACAAGCAGACCTAGACAGGCCGGCGTGTTGGGCAGAACAGAACCAGATGAGGTTCAGTGTAGAGAAATGCAAAGTGCTACATCTGGGAAGGAACAACCCCAGCACACCTGCAGGCTGGGCATCACTAACCTGACCAGCACTACAAATGAAAGGGACCTGGCAGATAACAATAGAGCCCAGAATGAATATGAGCCGGCAATGCATTGCAGTAGCCACTAGGGCCAATAAAACTCTGGCATGCATCAATCGATGCATCTCCAGTAAATCCAGAGAAGTGATTCTCCCGCTTTACTCAACATTGGTACAGCTGCAGCTGGAGTATCGTGTCCAGTTCTGGGCGCCACACTTCAACAAGGACATGCTAAAGCTCAAGAGGGTCCAGAGAAGGGCCACCCTTATGATCAGGGACTTGCATGGCAAGCCTTACGAGGAGAGGCTGAGGGATCTTGGACTCTTCAGCCTAAAGAAAAGAAGGCTGAGAGGGGCCCTGATTACCGTTTACTGCTATATCAGAGGCGTACATCAGGGTCTCAGTGAACACCTGTTCACCAAGGCGCCCTGGGGAAAAACTAGAAACAGCAGCCACAAACTCCTGGAAGACAGTTTCAGGCTGAACATTAGGAAAAAGGTCTTCAAGGGAAGACTGGATGGTCGCCTGCCTGAGGTCATCTGATCCCAGATGTCTTTCCTGCTCATGCAGGGGGCTGGACCCGATGATCTTTTGGGGTCCCTTCCAGCCCTATGATTTTATGATTCTATGATTTCAACAATACAACTCGCTCAGGCCCTGCTCTGTTGCAGCAGTCAGATTCTTTCTCTGCTGGGGTTTCCTTAGTGGGGAAGCTGTTCCTTCTCTCTGCTGCACTCGGATCAGGCTCCTCTGCAGTCTCCCTGGGGCCTCTTCCAATGGTGCATGGAGCATGTTAGATCTATATTTGACACATTGGTAATGTGGCCCTTCTGCCACAGGGCAATGGTATGGAGCATGTCGAGGAGCAAAGCCTCACTCCTGCTGCTTCCATGCAGCTCTGGGCAAATCTCGCAGTTCCTCTTTGCCACTTCCTCCCCTCCTAGCCCTTAAAAATAAAATAAAATAAAATAAAATAAAAGTCTGTAGATCAACCCAGCTCTCTGGGTCCAGTTATATCAATTTCCTCTTTGACTTCATCCATTAAAACATCAATCTGAGTCAGTTCCACTGACTTGTCCCTAGAGGAGAGTGGATCTGGTGAGGGAATCTCCCTAACATCTTCCACAGTGAACACTGATGCAAAGAATGCATTTCATCTCTTGGCAATGGCCCTGTCGTCCTTTAGTGCCCCTTTTACACCCTGACCATCCAAAGGTCCAACTGGCAGGTTGGACCTTTGGATGGTCAGGGTGTAAAACCTGCCAGTGTGAAACTCTGGCAGGTTTTCAGCTTCTAATGTACTTTAAAAAAAATATTGTTACCTTTTGTGTGTCTAGCAAGTTTCTTCTCACATTCTTTCTTAGCTTGTCATATTATAGTTTTACATTTGAGTTGCTAGAGTTCATGGTCTTTTCCTTATTAGGATTTGACTCCTACTTTTTGAAAGAACTCTTTTTTTCTGCTCATTGCCTCTCCAACTCTGCTATTAAACTATGCTGACTTGCTTTTGGTCCGTTTTCCATTTTTCTTGATTTGCAGTATGCATTTGCTCTGTGCCTCCCATATGTTATTCTTAAGCAGTTCCCATGATGTTTGAATATTCTTCACCTCCTTAGGGCCCCTTTAACTCCTGTCTAACTAGTTTCCTCATTTTGGTGTAAATTCCCTTTTTAAAATTCAAGACTATTATGGTACATTTTCTCCTTGTCTCCCCTCCTACATGGATGTCAAACCCAATTACATTGGGGTCACTCTTGCGGAGTGGCTCAGTAACAGTTGTTCTTTACACACAATTCTGTACGCTACTTAGGACTAGGTCAAGAATGACCTTTCCTCTTGTAGGTTCCAGGACTAACTGCTCTAGATAGCAGTCTTAAAACTTCAGATTTGGTCTCTGCATCCCGACCTAATGTTAGATTGACCCAGTCTATTTGTGGATAGTTGAAGTCACCCTGAGGTTCCCTGCGGGGCCTGTTTTGGATTCCTAGATGCTCACAGACCAGGGCAGTTCCCTCTCACACCCTCTTAGCATGATCATCAGGCGGAGAGAGTATGTCTGGGAGGCCTGGAGCTGTGGCAAATTGCAAACAGCAGACAGGACGGAGCTCTGATTCCCCAGGAAATGAGGGGCAGGAGGATGCTCTGGAAAAGGTAGGTTGTTGGGTGGGTTAGCTGGTTAAGGAAGGGATCCAGGCTTGACTGAGGAAAGGAAGTACTGTGCCAGCTGACCTGGGGGACAAGGGATCCTGACTCTCAAGACACAGCCACAAAGGGTGTGTAGGAGGGTTTGGTGAGGAGCAGGGAGCTTTGTGATAGGGGTAGTTAATAGGTATCTGGGCTGAGCTGAACTACTCAAACTTTTTGGAAGTATGTCCCTTCCTGGTTGATGAAGAAAGTAAAGCAGAGGCCTGGAGCTGTATGAAATAATTAACAGCCTGTGCTTTGAGGCGGGGTTCCCTGAGCAAGACAGGCTTTTGACCTAGAGCAAAGAGTTACCATTCTGCCTGACAAACGCAGCTCCTTCAGGTGAACACTGTGATATTCCTGTCTCTTCAGGGAGTATCCCTCGCTCAGAAATGTGGCAACAGAGAAGCAAACGAGATGTACAGAGTGAGATAAAAGTAGCATAGAGGCAAAGCTGCTTAGCTAATAATGAGTAACCAGCCCTCTAGCTAGCACTGGTGGGGAGGAAAAAGTGCCCTTTACTGTACCCCAGAACACTGCACCCGTTTCTGAATCATCCATAATCCTGCAGCTCTTCCTTAACATTAACTGCTCCCTAGAAACACCAGCCTGGGGTAGGAAGGTAAATGTCACTATCCCCATTTTGCATTGGAGCAAGCAGAAGTAGAGATGTTATGGGGTTTGCACAGCCTTGCGCATTGGTACTGGAGACGCAAGTAGATCCTGAAGGGTCATTCTCAATGTGCCAACATCAAGGTTTTAAATCGACTCTCACAACATGTGCTGATTTTCTTCAGGCCCCAGCTCTTGAAGTCGTGTCAGCTTTCCCTTTATGAAGTAAGTTTCCAGTCCTCGCTGCTATGGTGAACATCTTGAAAATGTGCTGGTGTTCACGTAGTGTCCCTGTTGTGTGACCTAGAGGCTCAGAATGAAACCAGAAGGCAAATACAAGGATTCCCAAATGATTATGGATTTCCTAAATCTAATGATTTTTAAGCTAGTCTCTTGCTCACGGGCATCTAGCTTATGTCTCTAGAGAGCTCAGCGCTGGCAGTACTGTTGACTCCTAGTTATGCGATCACTCCACTGGGCATTGAACATGGTCCTCACTTGGAGCGTATGGAGGGAGCGCTCGGGACACTGCCAGCCACCAGCTGAGCATCTGGCTCAAAGTGCCTTCTCTTCGTGTAGAGCAGTGTGTTAATATGAAGGTGGGGGGGGAATAACAAAAAGAAATGGAACCCTCTTTTCTCAAAATATTCACTTTCAAAAGTGCATTTTGCTTCTAGTCACGTTCCACAAGTGTTTGCTTCCCCACTGTGAGATTTGCATGCCTACAGTCTACTAGGCATGTGTGCATGGCTACAGCACTATCCTACGTGTGTGTGGTACACCGCTGCTCTCCTGGTGCGCACGGCTTGGCTGGTGACCATGGTGGGTGTATGTACACACAGCACACATATTCATTACAGTGTGTCTGAGAGAGAATAGTGGCGAAATGCATAGATATTCAGAAATTCTTTGATTTAATTTGCAGAGCTCTTGCCCACGCAAGCAAGCAGAAGACCAACCAGCAAGACTGTAACAGCCTCACTACAAAATGGGAAAAGTAAGCCTTTCCGAGCATCTCCTCCCAGCCACCCCCACTGCCTTGGAAGCCCTCACGGTTTAGTGTCTCTCTGTCAGTGGCCGGTAGAGGGAGCACAAGCTATGCTGTAGACTCTTTTCTCACATACTTTCACCAAGCCTTGGTACCTCCTGCAGTCAAAGATTATTCCAGTGAGGTATCAAGGAGCAGATCTTCTTGCTCTGGGACATGGTGTCTCTAGGCCCATTGGCATGTGTTGCTGCCCTGTGAAGATTTGTGCCTGACTTGCTGCTTTCCATCACATCTATGCTGCTTTCAGCACAGCCTGCTCTTGTCACTCCTATGTGACTAAGCTCAGTGCATGTCTGCCCCCAGCCACCATGCTGTACCCAGGAGCATTGCTGTGAAGCCTGCTTTGCATGCTCTCCCCTGTCCCCCATGCACCAGATCCTGGTAGTGAAGCCATGCAGCCACCCCAGGTGCTGGGCTTGCACCCGTAACCCTGACTGTGACAGTGACTCCGGCACCTGCTCACTACTGCACATAGCTTTAGTGTTGACAACTGGCAGCTGCAGAGCAGAAATATGTGGGTGGGACATGCCTCAGGTCAGCACTGCTTAGCATGGAGGCTGTGCAAACATGCCTCAGGGGTCACCTGGAGCGCTCCTGCCAGTGAGGTGTGATCTAACCAAAGCAGGGGGCCCACGGGGAGCACTAACCCTCCTCCCTCTTGTCATCCAGATGATGGGAGCATTCGGCTGGTGAGCGGGACTGATGCCTGCCAGGGCAGAGTGGAGATCTACTACCAAGGGCACTGGGGCACCGTGTGTGATGATGACTGGGGGCTGGCCGATGCCAGTGTGGTTTGCAAGCAAGTGGGCTGTGGCCATGCCCTGGACTACAAGAGCAATGCCTACTTTGGCTATGGCACAGGGCACATCCTCCTGGACAATGTGAACTGTGATGGAGGCGAGCCCCACCTCTCAGCTTGCTACAGTCTGGGCTGGGGCGTCCACAACTGTGGGCATCATGAGGACGCAGGGGTCATCTGCACAGGTAGGAAAGCAAAGCAGCATGGCTGCCATCTTTGGATTGAACAAGGGACCCCAGGAGCTACCACAAGGCTCTAACAACCCCAGTACTTTGTGGCTCAGGTGTGGAGTAGGGTAGCAAAACACCCTGATGAAAGGGCTACTTGTGTTGACCAGCTGTTAGAGGAAAGGCTCAGGAGACCAGTGAGAATTTTCCCCTGCAGACTGGCACCTCCTTGGGGCAGAAACTGTCTTTAAGGCTAGGGACAGACATTCAAAAAGCCCAAGCCTGAATTGATTCATTCTTTGCAGGTTAGTCTAAGCTGCACAGCTTAAACTGATTAATAACTGGACAGACATTCTCTGTTAAACCAGGAAATGCAGCTACATGCCTGCAATGGCTCAAGCCAGAAGCTGGGGTGCTAGAGCATGCCTGCCAGCCAGTGTCAAAGGGGAGGGAAGAGAGATGCTCTCTAAGGCACTCACTCCTCCTTGCTGGAGCAGATGGCAGCCAGCAGCTGGGAGGCGGCGGGGGGCAGTTGCTGCCAGACTGAGGAGTGGAGACAGGGAAAAAGTCCTTTCTCTGAAGCAAGCACATATTGAACACAGTAATTTGCAAAGCACACAACAGGGAACTACCAAAAATCTTTGCCTAAGCTAAGATACAGCCCAGTAAAACACAGCATACACAACTTAGTCTAACTTAAAATGAAAACTGGGAAGACAAAAATTAGTCTTACTAAACCCAAGGGCAGTGTTTCCTTACAGCCAGACATTCAGAAAGGGTTTGCTTAGGCATTCCCACCTTTTACATGTTCTGCTTTATAATGTAAATGTAGCTCTCTGCATTTTTGGGGGAAGCTGTCTGCAACTTCCCTTAACTACATCTCCAGCATGTGTGATGATTGTCAGGTCTTTGCCAACACTTCCCACCTCTCAGTCTGGTCCTGCAGGTCTTAGCTCTGGGCTCACAGGTGCAGGGTTTGGATCTGCACACACGGGAGTAGCTGGCCTTTCTCCCCCTGCTCCAGGACATGCTGTGGAATTAATCCCCTCACTGCCTGACTACAGGCAAGTTGCAGAGACTGCAGCCAAACCCCCAGGGGCTTTGGGGGAGAGAGGGGACAGAGGAAGGAATTAACTCAGGGGTGGGCAATTATTTTGGGAGAAGGGCTGCTTACTGAGTTTTGGCAAGCCATCGAGGGCCACATGACAGGTAGCCAGGGGCAGATAAATATTAATTTTCTTAATTTTTTTAGGGGCCCTGTGGGCCAGACAGAATGGCCTGGCATGCTGCATCCCACCCACGGGCTGCATTTTGCCCACCCCTGAATTAACTCCATCCCTGCCTGGCTTCAAGCAAGCTGTGGAGATGTGGCTGGGGCTGGCAAACCCCAGCTGTGATCCCTAGGGTTTGCCAGTGGGGGCAGGAAAGAGGACAGAGGGAGGAATTTGCCTCCGGGGCCATGGCAGGCCAGCATCTAGCCACACCCTGCCCCTGCTCCAGCTAGAGAGCCCAGAACTGTAGGAAGACCAAACAGCCTTGGAAGCTGGGCAAAGAGGTCCAAGAGGAGGTCGTTGTAGTAGAGGGTGAATCATAAGCACATAGGACTTAAAGGGGTGTCCTGGATCATTTAGTTTAGTCCCCTGCTATTGTAGAATTCCTTTCCTGCAGTGGAGAGTAACTGTGGCAATGGATGCCTGGCTGGATGAATGGGACTGGAAGGGACTATTGGCATTGGGGGTGAGGAATGGAGCTAGGAGTTATAACATGAAAGCTGTTGGCTAGTGTGGACTGGCCACTGGAAAGGAAATGGAATATTGTTATAGCATACCCCAAAGTCAAGCTGACAGTAATGCCCCAGCGCCAGGCCCTTCTCCCATGCAGTCTGTAGCCCTCATCACTGCAGGAGCTAAGTGTCTCTCACTCTTCAGTGTCATCATCCTAACAACCCTTATTAGGCAGGGCAGTGCCCTGTTCCTCCAGACTGAGGCCCAGAGACACTAAGTGATGTCCCCAAGGTCCCACAGGCAGAAAAGGGGACTGAGCCCCAGTCTTAAGTGAGGGGCCTCCACCAAACCATACATCCATCTGTTTTTACCTGCTGGCACTGGGGAGATCTTGAATCTCATAGTCGAAGGCAGGGGAGGCTGGAAAAGCCATTCCTAAGGGAAAAGATTATCCTGCCTGCTATTGCCCAGATCTGCTGTGTGGAAAAGAAACTGTCTGGTCTGGAAGTGAAGGATGAGCTGTCAGCTGAGCTGTCTGTGGGCCAGTGCTGAGCAGAGCCTTCTCCCCATCTTTACATGATGTATTTCTGCCATTATCTGTTGATTACCATTTATAATGTTAATAATCCCCTTGAATTTCCTTATTATCATGGCTAATGACTGGAGCACTAAGTGCCGTCACTTTCCCTTTCCAACTATTAACTAACAAAGAGGATGATGCTATGAGAAATGGGCAATTTTCTCATACTGCTTCTTTCTCCCCAAAATATCTGTCATTTCTCTTCCCTGCTGCCAGGGAGAGGGAAATACTGGTCCAATAAGGCCATGATCCTGGGGAGACAGCCAGGAAGGGCAGGGCTATTCTAGATGGGTCAACAGAGGAGTCTTTGAGGCAGAGCACCAGTATCAATCCCAGCCCATTGGGTGGAATAAGTGGCTGGTTGAACGAGAGTGGTTGCTACTATGTAAATAATGGACTTTACCTGTGATATAGGGTGTAATGTTTGCTTAGCCCCTGTGAGAGACAAATGCCCTTAGAGCAGCAGGCCCCTGCAGCAGGCTTTCAGTGATGGACAGAGCTGGGCTGGGGTGACCAAATAGGGGGACTTCTTACCAGGCTGCTGGGCACTCTCATACCCTGTGCTTTTCTCTGTGCTGTGTACCCCACCAAAGGAAAATCTTGGTTTGAACCCACCAATTATGGAAGGGAGCTGTTGACTCACTTAGGTCAAGTTCTGGAGATGATTTGGGCCAAGTCTCTGTTCCAGCCCTCTCCCCACAAAGCCTCGCCCCCTGCCAGCCCTCAGCACAGAGGTATTCCTACAGTGGGAGCTTGGCCACCTTGTGCTTAAAGCAGGCAGCAGAGCCCTCAAGGTAGGGGGAACTCTTTGCTACCAGCCTCTGGTCCAACTCCATACACCCCACTCCACATAACCACTAATAGCAGGGAGCTGTGGATGAGTCATGGTGGCTTGATGTCACATACAGATCCAACTGGGGACCTCCAGCCTGGAAAGTGAGAGCTTCCTCACCTTAAACTAATACTGCAGGTTTTCTCAGAGAGAGCCCTAGCACACCCAGGGCATCCAGGGATTAGTCAGAGCAACCGGGCACCTTCAATCAGGAGGTGATGTAGCTTCATCTGGTAGGAAAGAAAGTGCTGAGCCCTTGTTCCCAAGGAAAAGGCTGGAGAAGGGGGAGCCAATAAGAGCAACCAGGAAAATATAGAATAACATACACATATTTCTTCGTTCTCCAGATGGGATCCCTTCTAGCTGAGCCAACTCTTGAAAGGCTTCTGTGCAGCCCAGGCAATGACCCTTGTTCATGTAACCTCTGCCCCTCTGTGTGTCCCTCCAGGGCTGGGGATGTCAACAGTCACACCATTCACCACCTCAGTCACCTGGGAGTATGGAAAGCCATTCACCGGCACTGCCACAGGTGAGGCCAGCTTTCCTGTTCAGAGGGGATTTGTGATATACCCTGCATTCGCACTGTCACGAAGGCTTAAAGTCACAAGACTGGTGCCTGGCTTGTGGTAGCTACAGTTCTACCCCTGGAGTAGTATTCTTCTATTGAGAACACAGTTGTCATGCAAATCTGTTTGCCATTCTTATTGGATGTGGAGAAACATGGCTAGGATCCATGATCCTGGGTTTTCTCTTTGTCTTCTGCCTTGGAGTTACTCCTGGTGGTTATTACAGTGCGCTGGGGCAGCCTCCCTGCATGTGTATAAGCGCCCCATGTGTTTAAACAGCTATCCCAGGGGAGCTGCTCATAGTAAAGTAAACTCATGGGCTGGTGCCTTGCAAAAGAAGCCTCTATTGGGTTTAAGCACTACCGACCCCTCTTGCTAGCTCTGTGCCAAGCAGGAAATCTCAGCCTTGGTACCACGTGCCAGGAATCCAGCAGGGCTCATTATCTTTTATGTACATGGTTGCATTGGGCATAATCCTACCATGGTGCTTTTGCAAGCCATTGCTTCCAGAGAGTGAGCTGCCCTGCTACCCTTAAGTAGAGAACAGCAATGAGACAGCTTTATTCCTGGACCTTTCTTCTGACTCCTGACTCTGGCACTCATCTTCGCAGTCACTGATGGCAGAGATCAGCTTTCTCCAGAGACTGAAGTGATGACGACGGCTATTTTTGCGAGGGGAAAGAAAAGTAAGTATGGCCGTGCCCTGCCACTCTGCATGCACTGGGGCTCGTTGAGAGATTCTCTGCCAGGCCAGGTAGGCATGTGGCACTCGGGCATCAGGCAATTGAGGCAGGGCCAAAGCCAATGAAAACCCTGAGGTCACACCTGCTTAGGCCCAACAGCATCAGCTGAGCCCCTACTCAGTCACGGGGGATCCTGCCAGTCTTGCCAAATGCAGCGTGTTGCACTGTTAGATGGTAGGACAGGCATTGGAGATGACAAGACCCAGCATGCAGCATTCCACAGAGTCTGAAATGGAGCACACTGGGACACACAGCCTCCTTGGGCTTCACTTGGCATTGGAGATGAGGGCAGCAACAAAGCACTTCACAGAAGATAGAGCTGCCCTGGGCCCAGGAACTGCACTCCCCTCCTCACCCCTCGCTGACCTTCATCCACAAATATTTCAGGACCCCCCAGCTTCCCCTGCCACCCTCACTTGCCCTCTTTCTTGCCCTCTTTGGTCACCAGGTGGCAGCATCCGGCTGGTGAGCGGGAACAGCAGCTGCCAAGGCCGAGTGGAGGTTCTGCATCGCGGCACCTGGGGAACAGTGTGTGATGACGACTGGGATTTTGCCAACGCCCAGGTAGTCTGCAGGCAGATGGGCTGTGGGTCTGCAGTGGTGGCCACGGTCCTGGGGTATTTTGGCTACGGCACTGGGCCCATCCTCCTGGACAACGTGGATTGCATTGGCACAGAGACCGACCTGGCGGATTGCTTTAACTTGGGCTGGGGGCAGCACAACTGTGGGCACCATGAGGACGCCGGCGTGATATGCAGAGGTGAGATGTGTGTATAGACTGCAATGCAGCTCAGGATGCCCCAGGCCACAAGATCATGGTCACATGGTACATGTGGTTTCAGGCTGTATCCAGCTCTCATCTGAGATCAGTCAGCTAAGTGCCTGGAAAGGGGACAAGAGCTTTCCTGAGCCCCAAGGAGCTCTCTTATCAGATGCAAGGGTAGAGTTGATGGCCTCTGCAGTGAGCGCCTTTCATGCAGCCTGCCCTTGCTCTGACCCAGAGCTCTGAGCTGTGCTCACTTCTCTGCAGCTGTGCCATGGTTTGGATGGGGTTTGGATGTAGTCACATTCAGCCCAGGGTTCAGGCTGGCACTCAAGAGCACTGGCATTTCCCAGCTCTGTCTGTGAGACTCTGGCCCAGCACAGTGGGAACCCTGTGAGGTCACCTTTTTGTGGAGGTGCCAGTGGGACCCAGAGGGAAGATGCCCCTTCTGCTTCTGAATTGCCCCAAACCAAGATGTCAAAGTCAGACTTGGGAACCAAACCTACACCCCTGACAGTTCAAAGGGGCTTGGCCGGGAGGTCCCAGGTTGGGCCCAGTGCCTGGTTTGGAGGCACAAAGCATACTGCACCCACTGGGTGTACTGCTGTGGCACATGATGGGTGGGGCCTGCAGGCAGTGCCTGTGGATTTCAGTGTCTGCTTTAATGGGGGACTTGCCCATTCTTGCCTTAAAAAGGGCAACACCCCTCAGCTCCCTGTAGCCCACCCTCTCTCCCTAGCTTTTTACCTGTGCCTGTCCTTTCTCTGGCGCTGGTCACAAATGCTATGTGACTCCAGCCAGGAGCCTGAGAGCAGAGATTTGTCCTCATTCTTTTTTCCCCTCCCTCCTTTGCTGAACCAGGCATGGATGACTCAGGAGACCATTTCAGAGAAGATACATATGCGACTACAACCTCAACCACAACTCGCCCCAAGGATGGTATGTACTCTGTGCAGCCAGTAACTCCTTCCTAGGTGGCTTCAGGTAGCCATGGTTCTAATACTGGAGAAGTGCTCTGGGGTCTGTCTTGGGTAGCAAATCAGACAAGAAAGTTTTTAAAGGTTCAGACCAGTGCCTTTAGGAGTCACTACTGATGCGCTGATCAGAACCAGTGCAACTACCTAGGGGTAGCAGTTGTTGCTCTGTTGGCTCCCTTGACATTTTTCAGCCGTGGATTTCAAAGCAGCTTGCAACTATTCATTATAACCTATCCACACACTATCCCCCTCAGGAGGACAGGGCAGTGGTAGAGGTGATGTGACTAGACAAGCTCACACAGCGAAGCCAAGCCAGGAATGGAGCCCAAGTTACTTGATTTCCAGTTGGATGCTGTGTCCCCTGGACCATTCTCTAGATTCCAGATAGATGGCCCACTGCCTAGGGCAGAGGAACACATTGCCTTTCATTTCTGGGTACCTGTAATAAACGGAGGCATTACAAGTGTTTCCACAGCCATAGCTCCCAGCAAGAAGGGAGGCACTTCTCAAGTGAGCAGTTGAAGCACAGGAATGGGGCTCAGGACCACTGTGTCTTGTGCAAGCACATTCACCTCACTGAGTCCAACTGACCTGTCTGGACCACAGCAGCAGTTACCTGCAGTCCTGGGTGCTGTGAGACATCATGAGTGACTGTACTGCTGGGAGGTTTAGGCTAGAAGCTACAGCCTGCGGTCACTTGCTGTCCTAGCAGTTGTGTAGGCTGAGTGCTGCTTTCCTCTGCTAACCAAGATTAATTAATTAATTAGGATCAATTAAGACAGTCTCCCATGAAGCAGCAACTGCTTCCTAGGCCCATCTCTCTGCAGTGCAGTGAGACACTGGGGTGATGAAGAGGACCCAGGTGGGGCTGCCAGTCAACCTCAGAGCTTGGAGGTTCTGCTGGGCACTGACCAGGTCCCCCCCGTGCTCCCTGCCCCTAGGATTCCTGCGCCTGGTGAACGGCAGCCACCGCTGCGAAGGCCGCGTGGAGATGTTCTTCCTGTCCCAGTGGGGAACAGTGTGTGATGATGCCTGGGACCTCAAGGATGTCAAGGTGGTGTGCCGGCAGCTGGGCTGTGGGCATGCCGTGGCGGCCTGGGGGGAGGCGCACTATGGCCAGGGCATTGGCTACATCTTCCTTGACAACCTGAAGTGCAAGGGCAACGAGGCCTCGCTGCTGCGCTGCTCCCACATCCGCTGGAACGTCCACAACTGTGACCACTCGGAAGACGCTGGCGCCGTCTGCAGCCTGCTATGACCCTGCCAGCTGGGAGAAGCTGTCGCTCAGGTAGTGCCAGGCAGTGCGCCAACCCCTGGGCACTGCCCCCCCACCCCTCCCTGTTGGGCTGTATAAACCCATGACAATAAGGTTCCTGAATTGGGGCAGATGGTGCCACTGTGACATGTCTTCAGGGTTAGCCACTCCCTCTATTGACAGGACAGCAACCAGTCCCAGAGCTCCTGTGCTCCAGCCTCTGTGCTCATGGACCTCCCTCCAGTGCCATCCTCCCCCTGGAGCTCTGCCTGCATCCTCCATCTGTGCCCACTGTCCCCTCATGCTCACAGGGTGGTTGACATGTGATCCCCAGGCTGCATTTTCTGCTTCTGTCATGCCTGGAGCCCCTCACCCATGCCCATCGCCCTATACTCAGGCTCACTGCCTGAGCATGACTGGGAGTGCCTGGTAGACTGAGCCCTGAGCACATAGAGTATGGGAGAGATGGGCAGGAAGGAAGCATAAAGGGTAAAGGAAGAGGGGCAGAGTCTAGCAAGTCTGGGTGGGGTAGGTACTGTGGGCCAAAGTGAGGGTTTCTTTTGCTTCTCCCTTTCTCAAGTGGTGCCACAGGACAGCTCCTCCCTTCCCGTCCCCTCCCCTCCCCTCCCCAGAGCTCTCTGCTGGGCTGACAGATCTCCCGCCTGACCACAGCCCATCCATTTCCCTGTATCAGAGGTGGGCATCCAGCAAAAACCCCCCTTGTGAATTGTTAAAAAGCCATCAGCAACACATCCAGCCTGCTGTGAAAAGAGCAGCTGCAAATAATGCCCCCTAATGCACCTTCAGGGTTGGGCCAGCTTAATGGGGCAGTGAAGTTACAAGGAGCCAGACCTAACAGCATCCCTGAGTGGCTGGGGGGGGGGGCTGCCAGCGGGAGGTGCAGCCTGCTGAGTCTGATCCGCCTTCTGTGATGGCACAAGACCTGCCAGTGCTTGGGAACTGTTCCCAGCAGAGCACAGAGCCATGCAGGGAATGCTGAAGCCATGAGTCTGGTCTGCAAGCCAGGGAGAACCCTTGGCAGAGGGGGACTTGACAGCTGCAATTTGCTGGACTATGAAGAAAGCTTAAGAGGTGCCTTGATTGCAGGGTAGAAACAACCTCATGGCAAGAACATAATGGAGGCAAAAGGGCTCTTTAATTCAGCAGTGAAAGGCAAAACAAGAATCCAGGGGCTGGCAGCTGATGCACAGGGGTTTGGCTCAGAAATTAGGCACAGATTCTTAACAGGGAGGGCGATTCCACCTTAGAACAGACTCCCAGAGACAGTGGTGGAGCCTCCAGCTGTTGATGGGCTCATATTAAGGCTGGGTGCCTTGGTGGAAGAGGTGCCTTAGCCACACACAGGTACCAGCTACTGGCTCAGTACAGCGGTAACTGCATGAGATGTAAAGGGCCTGTGAGAGACAGTGAATCAGACCCACTGATCTGATGGCTCCTTCGGAGCCTGAACACCAGGAATCTAGCAAGATCAAAGTGTGTCAGAGCTACCAATTTATCCTCATCTTCAATGCTAGGATCAGGGGCATGAATTCATAGGACAGAGCTGAATGAAGAGTTGCAAGGAATAACTTAGTTGGATATTGGACTGGAGCTCATGGCAGCCATGTTCTGACAGCAGTGCTGCCACTGGCCTCTAGGGTGTTTCTGAGCAAGTCACTTTGCCTCTATGCCTCAGTTTCTCCCATCTGTAAAATGGAGACAGTAACTCTGACTTCTTGTATGAAGTATTTTGAGCTCAATGGACAGGAATTGCCAGCTTAGAGCCAGACATCCTCATTTAGAGTTGGGCCTGAAATTGCTGCTGAAATACTTTTCTGTCAGATAATGCCACTTTGAGACTTGCCTTTTAAAAACGAAACAAAATATGAATTTAAATAAAAATCTTATTTACAAATATAGAAAAACCTGTTGAAAATGTCAAAACTCCCAACGTGAAGGTTTTTGGGGATAAATGTGTTTTTGAAGTGGCTTTTAGTCATATGACTGACTTAATTTTAAATCGTGACTTGGGACAAAAAAAATTAGAATCTCTATTTTTCATGGGGCAGCAAATCTGTTTTCCAAGCATAGCTGACTGTTCCTGAGCTGTCCATGAATGTGACTCTGAAGTTCTTCAGCAGACTTGTTCTCTGCCTTATCTGTAAATTTCTTTCTCAAGCAATTCTCTGTGGATCAAGCAGGTATAATATACTACGAACATTCATAGATTTGTATCACAGAATCATAGAAAAGTAGGGCTGGAAGGGACCTCGGCGGGTCATCTACTCTCTTATACAATCTTGCACTGGGGTTTCATCATGATGATAACTCCTAGAAACTCCAACCAACCAAGAGGAGGACCGCATTGTTTTGGGCACTGGTAAGACCTACAGTCCCTGCCCCAACGAGTGTGTGTGGAGGAGGGGTGCTGTGAGGTACAGCTGTGTGTGGAAGGGATGGTGAGTGTGGTGTGTGGAAGGGATGATGGGGTGTGATGAGTGTAGTGGAGGCACGTGGGGTGCTGTGAACTTGAAGGGGTAGGTAACTAGTGCCCATGGCATAGCTTAGAGCTGCTTCTCTCCATCTGCCATGTGCCAGGGCCAGAGGAGTCAGGATCTCTCAGACACTCCCTGCCCAAGTTGCCTTGTAGATGATCCAAGCTAGTGGAAAACCCTAGCTCTGAGCTAAAGATCCTGTTTGTCTTTCAGACTGAGGCTGGCCCAAGCTGCAATGGATCCCAGATGCCAGTGGCACACGGTGCAAGGTGGGATGGTTCCCAGCAGTGCCATCCACAGGATGCGAACCACACGTTCTACACACCTGTGTTCCCTGTACATCACTGTATATAGCACAGGGCTGTATTGAGCAAGGAAGCCCTGTTCTTGCTGCCATGCCCTGCAGACCCTTCCCCTCTCACCTAGCGATTCACCCAGGCCAGTTCCAGGTGCCTGGCTGAACAGGTACCAACCAGTGCCTCCTGGTTGCCTGATACCCCAGGGACATGGAGCAGAGCTGCTCAGTCCTCTGGGTTGGTTCCATGGCTACTCCCTATGGTGGGCGAGTATTGATCAGAAGAAAACCCTCAAAGCAAGAAGGAAAATCACTGCCCAGTAGAGTCTCACTAGGAGAAATGGCAGACACGCAGGTGCCCAGCAACCAGAGCCCATGGAGAATTCTGAAAACTTGAGTATCATTCCAGCATGTGTCAGGGGACTAGGATATCTGCAGAGCCCCCAGAAGATACATTTTTGTTCAGACACTAGAGTGATAATGGCCACATCCAGGCAGGCTCCCAAGTGACTTAGGAGCCTCAATACAGCTCTATTGTAAAGATACTGGAGTACCCTGAAGCTGCAGGCTGCAGAGATGTGTCTGTCTAGCCACTTGGTCATGTATTTCACTGTGCTCTGCTCCTGTTCTCAGACCATGCTGGAAACTTTGGGGTCTCACCCTGGCAGGCTCCTTGCTGTCTGCCATTCACCTTTGGTCATTTTTCTGCCCTGGAGACTGGTGCAATGTTGTCCCTGGGTGTGAGGGAGGGGAAGTTTTTGCTTACTGACAAGGGATTCACTCCCAGGACTTGCATGCATCTGCCTGGGCCATGTGTTTGTGTGATTCCTTTGTTAATCGAGTGGGCGTGTCCCAGGGTTTTTCCACTTTTCTTACATGTTTTTGTGCATAAATAAAAGCCCTTTTCAAGTGTGCTCAGAACCAGCAGGCTTGTCTCTGAAAACCACAGCTCAGTTAGCTGCGTTTCAGGCGCCGGTGGTGACAGATGGCTTATGATCCCTCGCTGTCGCTAACAAGTGGAAACAGAGGGGCCCAGTGACCCAGGCCGAGTCCATGGCAACTCCATTGATTTGGGTGGAATAGCTCAGATCCATGCCTAATGGGATTTTTTTCCAAAAGCACCTAGCTAGGTGCCTAACTCCTATTGGTTTCACGGGGATTTGGAGCCAAACTTGCATAGACATATCTCAGTAGATGCCTCTTTGTCTCGTGAGGATCCCAAATAACTGGCACCATGTGTTAAAGGGTATATGAAATTCACACTGGCCAGGAAAGGGCCAAGTCCCAGCTTCCTCACAGGATAGCTGTAAAAGGTATCAGATGCTTAGAGACAGCAGGCTGCCTGAGGATTGCTGCTGCCAGGGCCTCCCGAGGAAGGTCTGAGAGGCAAATGGCTTCAGGTAGTGAGACTAGGGGTAATAAGGATCATGCCCCCTTTCAGATGGTGTGAAAAGGAGCCAGACTCTGGGCCCTCAGCTCTGAGAGCAGCATTACAGTGTCTGTCCCTGTCTTATCCCTGAAGTGGGAAGCACTGGGTCACCCTGGGCAGCACGCTGACCTTACAGGAGATGAAGCAGGCCTGGTAACATCAGTGTGGTGAGTCTTAGACCCCAGTCACTCTGAGCCTGGCTGTTACTCCCAGGTCCAGTGGTGACACCTGCCATACAAACAACCATGCATCCAAGTAGGAGGAAGGGCCTGGGCTGCAAGTATAGACCAGCTCTGTGAAGAGCTTTCACTGGCAGCGGGTCCCCTCCCTTCCCTGCTTCTCAGCATTCCCTTCCCCAGCGTGGAACCAAAATGGGTAGGGACAAAGGACCAAATTAAAAAGCGTGTACAAAAACTCTGGGCTTGCTGCATAACAACTGGAATCATACTGCAGTAAGTGAAGGCAAAACCAGGGGAGCTTTGTCTGAAATAAAACAGCTAAATTGCCCCAGTTTAGCATTCATTTACCATGGGGTAACGGGTACATGGAATCAGCTGCTCTACTGTAAGTCCCCACCCCCTATATTGCTCATTTATCTGTGCCCTTGGACTCCAATAGCTTAAAACCAGTAAAGGCTGGTGATCATCTCATTGATTTCCTGCATCATGCAAGCTCCATCACTCAGCAAGGCAGTAATCAGGGAAGCTGGAGAGAGCCTCCGGCCAAATGCCAGCTCCAGCTCTTCCTGGCCTCTGGGTCTGAGTACCTCTATGCTGAATGGAGAGGGGAGAGAGATGTTTTTATTCATGACCTCATGCAGTGCAGAGTTAGCCCTGCCCTGGAGCCTGGCATTGTGAGTACAAGCAGGCGGATTCTGGTGAAGGGGAAATGCTGCACTGCAAGTCTGAGGCCAATGCCTTTGGGCTGTCATCATCAGGAAGCTTATTTTCAGGGGGATGATGGTGGAAACACTTTCTGAGAGACAAATAAATGGAGCTCATCAAGCCCTAATCTGGGCTGAGGAAAGGGCCCCATTGTGTGAGCACTGGCTGAATCTGATTGATGCCCACAGAACAAGCATATCCCACCTAGGTCCCTTTGTACTTGCCCGCATAAGCATTCCCTCTCCCCACCTCCCCCTCCTCATTTCTCCAGTTTTTGTCTGGAGCAACTGCAATTCTACATAGATCAATACCATTGATTAGCTCCTTTCTTCATCTCTTAAGAGGAGATGGTGGTGCAGGGGTTGGAGAGAGAGAATAAATATTTCACAAGGCCTGGGCAAAGGCTGCAGTTATTTTGGGTTTGGATTTATGGCCTATTAGGAATAAGGAATGAGTCTCTGCCGGGAGAAAAAGACCATTAATCCAGGGTGAAGGAGCACAAATGATATGGGGAAATGGAAGAGTTTTAATTATTTTGCTGAGTTCCAGGACAATACTCAGTTTCTAGAGTTGGCATCACCCAGGTGCATGCAGTTCGGTAGGGTCCGCTTCATTGCAGAGGTGGAAAGTGGGGCCTGGTTCATGCAGGTCACTTATTGGGTACCCATAGCAGAGCTGGGGAGCTAGGATTTCTGTGCGGAGGGCAGCCTCACAGCCACAGCCACACTAGCAGAAAGAAGTTGGTTGTCAGAAAGAAACAGGGCCAAGTCAAGGTGACGTATTTTTGTAGCAATATCTGGCTGCGTTTCACCTTGGTCTTGCCCTCTCTTCTCTCCTTGGCTCAAACCACAGATGAGCTTTAACAGCAAAGTCCAGACACAGAGCTGGGTCTTCTCAAGGATCCACAGACAAGGGCTTGGGTGAGAGGCTTACACTGAATCCCACCTCTAGCTCATATGTATTTTGGATCCTGGGGTCAGGGGGGTTGATGCACTGGGCCTCTAACAGCAAAATTCACCCAGCCAGAGATCTGATGTGCTCCTTGAGCCAAGACTTTAAGTGGTGGCACTGTCCTAAGTCTTCTAATGGCTTTCTGCCCAGGGTGAATTTCAGCATACAGTGGATGCATGATTAAAGAAAAGGCATTGAAAGGGAGATGACTCAGTAAGCTTCCCTGGTGCATCCTCATCCCCCGTCCAGACAGAAGGCTGGTAAAGTGGGGAGGGCTGCACAGGAAGTCTTGCTAGAATGAAGCCCCACCACACCCCACAAGCAGGATAAATGCTCCCCCGCCTGATGTCAGGTGCAGAGTTCCTTGGAAACAGGAGAAGAAGCTGTCATCCCAGCCCAATTCACCCTGTGATTCATTATATGGCTGGGAGCCTGTTCAGATGATTCAGATGGGCATCATTAGCAAGGCATTCATAATTCAGCACTTGCAAGAGGAGACTGTGGAAGGACAAGACATAAGTTTCTCATGGAGCTTTCTTCCTCCGCTCCTCCTGGGCATGGTGTGGTGGTGGCCCATCAGCAGGGCATACCTGAGAGCCTAGCACTTAGAGGAGGCATGTTGCTAAGGAAGAGGTCAGTGGTATCAAGAAATGGCCTTGCCCTGGACCCTGGAGGAGGAGTGCAGGCTGGCCCCGTGCGGCTCCCTGGGAGGCTGAGTGCTCAGAGCACAACCGGGTTCTGAAAAGGAAGGGTGTTCTCCTTATCCCTGCCAGCTGTGCACCTGGCAAGCTGCTGCCCAGAGTGGCTTGGCCTGGGAGTACTTACAGCCCAACACAATTAACTTCTATCCACTCATCAGGGGTTGAGAGCTAATAAGGGTATTCATTCCCAGGGGTTTCTGGAAGGTCTCTGTATGGCTGTGCAACTGCAGTATTGCAGTATGTGACCACACCAGGCTATCAGCATACCTAAAGCCAAGGCAGGAACTTTGCACACACTGATTTTGTCTGGTCTGTGTCAGCACAAGGGCAGCTGAGAACATGAGTGCCAGCTCCCCTGTCTCCCTGTGCTCATGCTGCTTGTCATGCCCAGTCACCATAAACTTATTGTTTTCCCTCACCCCCACGTCATGACTACTGCCCAGCAATGAGGAGACAGGGGGTAGGGAATAGCAGGTTAATGTGCTGCTGTCCACTGCTGGGGTCTTCCCTCATTCTCTGGTCAGTCTTGGAGACAGAGCAGTGGGCTGGATCGGTTTTAGATACCACATGCACTCAAACTCCTATGCTCCTGCCTGCTCCCATGAGATTTCAGCCCCTGATGTCCAGGTTGTTTGCTGTGATCTGTTGCTGGCAAGAGATTAACTCCACCCTGCGTAGCTTCCAAGCTGGATCTGATCCAGAAACAAGGCTCTTGGCCCAGGGATCTCACTGTGGGGTTTAGTCATAGCAATACCCAGGACTTGGGGGTGAGAACAGGGGTGGTGAATCAGTCAGTCCCTTCCCTTCTACTGAAGTTCAGGAACAAATGACCTTAAAGTTCATGGGTTAGGGTTAGGGTCCAGGCCCAGCTCTCCCCACTTAGGCAGTGTACTGGGTCCATACTGGGTGTGTTGGATCTCAGTGGGCTAGTCTCTGGGCCAGGTGAATCCTACTGCAGGCTGCATCAAGGCTAATGGGAACCACAGCAAGCCTGTAGAGAGGAAAACATGTACCGACTCAGTGAAGTGGGCCAAGAGGGGAAAGTTTGCACTCCCTTTTGGGGGTCTGATGCCCCCAGGCCTAGCAGGGATGAGCCCCCTGGTTCAGGCTGTCTGCAAGGGGAAGGACACCTCTCTTTCCTCTGTCCCCAGTCCCCACCCTGGTCACTGAGAACTCACTCCAGCCTCGTGCAAGACGGAGGGCTGGGTGAACCACATGTGGCTGGCTCCTGTTACAGAGCCCACCAGCGAGCACCAGACACCAGTCCCCTGCCTGTGAAGTGTGCAGCCATGCTGAGCCACATGTCAGACATGCTCAGGGCAGCAAACCTGGCAGTCCCACTGGGCTCCTGAGAGACATGCTGTGGCCAGAGCCAGGCTGGAACAACCACTGCATTTTATCCCACACGGTGCCCCATACTGTGTCATCTCATCAGAGCTCTCCTAGATGCACTGCATCAACTTCTAAAACAGCCAGAAGGAGGAGCCCGCCCCAGCTGGCCTGTTTGGCAGCCATGGCACTCTGGTCACTGGTTCTTCTTAGCACTGGTATGCCAAAGGCCTGGCCCGTGCAAGGTGCTCTGCCTCCAAAGCCTGATTCTAAGTCCTTGGTGGGCCCAGGGGGTTGTGCTGCTGCTTGCAGGTGGGGCTGCGGGTATCACCTTAAACTACTCCCTTGCCAATGGCACTTGGTTTTCTTAAAGGGGGCTCCTTCTCCATCCCCCAGGGGAGCTTATTGGTAGGGCTGGTAAGGATCAGGGCAGTAATGACAGAGACGCAGCCTGCTCCTCTCCCAGTCTGATGTTGGATCCATGTTACTCTCAGGCCTTGGAGTGGGTGCATCTGTCCAGACCTGTTTCTGCACTGGCAGGCCATGTGTTTGCCCTCTCCCCTCCCCTGGCACTCTGCTAGAGCATG